TGTGGGTGTGAGTGTCAGAGTGGGTCTGGGGATCCGTACGAATGTGTGTACGTGTGGGCCTTTCCTTCTTTCAGCACAAACCCACACCCACACGGACAGTAACACTCAGGCCAATGCCCACACTCACACCCACACCTACACCTCATACTCACCCTACAGTCTCAGCCACACTCACGCCACATCCACACGCACACCCACACTCCACAAGTCCTCTGCGTGGGATATGTGGTGATGAGAGAAAGACGATACCTGAAAGTCTTGAAAGCATTAGCCAATCCGCATCAGCAGAACGAATTTTGCAACTAAGACGATGTTATTAATAAAAGATCATATAACTACGCACTCTCTCCTTCTGTCTACCCACCTTGGATGAGAGTGAGTAATGTCGACAGCTGACGAATATTGACTTTCACTTTTCTTTTTTACTGTTTTATCTGCTTCTTTTGCCATTTCACCGCCTTTTTTTATTTTGTCACTCTCTTTCTTTTTTTTAATGATAGCTGTTAAAATATATGTTTGACGAGAAAATACGGAAAATGTAAAGAAGAAATTTGATTGGGTAGATAAGAAAAAAAATGTGAAGTGAGATGCCGACTAAGACGATGTTTACTCCGGAGAGCGTATCGTTAGTATTTTTTTTCTTTTTCTATGTAATACTCATTTTGCTTCCTTTTTCTGTCGACTGACAAGAGCGATGACGACATCCAACATAATTTTTTTTGTCAGAGCTATGAAAACATCGAAAAAAGGCGGGACTATGAGAAATAAACCCATGTATATTTGCCCAAAGTAAAAGAAATCAATCTCAACAAAAATGAAATAAGATCAGACCAAGTGTATCGATATATGGACTGTGCAACACTATTTACAGATTTACATCGAAAATTGAATGAAATCTTATTTTCATGAATTGTTTTTATGTCTGTCATTCAGCCTTATTGGGATTGATGCGATTCTCTCTATTAAAGAATTTTTGAAGGAGGCGTTTTCGCACGATCAAGTCTATGACTGAAGCGGCCGATTCTCCTCAACTGAAAAAAGTCAATTGGTTCCAGTTCTAATAGAAATGACTATTCAAACGAATTATCATTCGTAACATGACAATGTCGAGAAGAATTAATTTATCTTTCATCAAATCATTCGCTAAAATCTGTTCATTAAAGAATCCATCTAAATGATCATTATTTTGTTTTTGATAGATTAATAAAAATAAATAAATGTATTCTAATGGAATACATTGTTAATGCCACCCTACTGGAGAGTATTTAGGTACTCTCAGGGGACCTGGTGCTGCTTGCGGCACTGGAATGGCGTCCCCTGGGGTCCAGGAGCCACTATGTCTTGTTCTTGGACTAGTCCCCCAGTATACGACACTAAGCAATAACTGACTACAGAAAAAGAACAAACCCAACTTGTTACTACAACCAGGGTAACACTTTTTGGATCATGGAATGTAAGGTCGTGCTATCGAGTCACTAAACGCGAACTTATTGTTCGTCAGCTAAAACGGTATAGAATTCAGGTGGCGGCACTGGCTGAAACAAAAATACCGGACTCGGGTGTTTGTGTAGTAAACGGATATATGTTTATATATTCCGGCTCACCAGCACAACTATTATCAAAATCAGCTCACGGCGCAGCCGTATGTTTGGATCCTGAAGCTACTTGCACTTGGAAGAATTCAGGTGTGGGTGTGGGTGTGGGGTGTGGGTGTGGGTGTAGGTGTGGGTGTGGGGTGTGGGTGTGGGTGTAGGTGTGGGTGTAGGTGTGGGTGTGGGTGTGGGTGTAGGTGTGGGTGTGGGTGGGTGTAGGTGTGTGGGAGTGGGTGTGCGAGTGTAGGTGTGGGTGTCGGTGGGTGTTTGGGTGTAGGTGCATGGGTGTGCGTGAGTGTGGGTGCGGGTGTGTGGGTGTGAGTGTTGGGTGTGGGTGGATGTGGGTGTGGGTGCGTGGTTGTGAGGTGTGGGTGGTGGGTGGTTGGTGGTTGGTGGTTGGTTGGGGTGTGGGTGTGGGTGGGTGTGGGTAGTGAGTGTGGGTGGGTGTGGGTGGGTGTGGGATTTGGGTGTGTGCGCGAGGATGGTAGGTGTGGGTGTGGGCGTGGCTGTGGATCGGTGTGCGATGTGGGTGTGTGGGTGGATGCCGGTTGCGAGCTCTCCCAAGATCCACACCGATGGTCGCATGCGCAGTCACACAGAGACACCCATGTCATACCCACACCCACACCCTCGTATTATTTGAGATAGTCAACTACGGAATTTGACATCAAACTGTGAGTGTAAATGAGTGTTTTCATCCCGTAGGGCGTTTTAGATTTCTACGTAACAGTCATTCATAATTTGCGCATATAGGTATCAAAATTGTTTTCGTAAAACATCAGTTTACAATTCAACTTGACGACTCTTTTTTTTCTGTAAAACACTATTTGACACAGGAATGAAATAAATCGCACTATTCTAATGAGATGTAGAAAAAAATAGCGATGCATATTACCTTCAATCGATTGTCAACTGCAGTTCTTGTGTTTTGTCCACGAAAGTTTTTGCTTCAGACGCGATTCTTTTTTATTCCAATTTATTCATTCTTAGTTGTTTGTCAAATATATAGACGACAGCGTACAAATATTGACAACGAATCATATTCTCTTCGGATTTCTCACAAAAATTATTCGAAAGTGTTTTTTTTGCAGGGTGGATTTCTTCTCAGCGGGAAAAACTTATTCGAAGGTATTTCAGAGCCGCCTCTGGAGACGGGTGTTTTTCGCATTTCAAGCGAAGATCACCCGTGAGGATGTGGGTGTGGGCGAGGATGTGGGTGGGTGTGGGTGTGGGTGAGGATGTGCGTGTGCGTGTGGGGTGTGGGTGTGGGTGTGGGTGGGTGTAGGTGTGTGGGTGTGGGTGTGCGAGTGTAGGTGTGGGTGTCGGTGGGTGTTTGGGTGTAGGTGCGTGGTTGTGAGTGTGCAGGTGTGGTATGGGTGTGGATGTCGGTGTGGGTGTGAGTGTGGGCTCATGTCTTCTTGTAACTCATACTCAGGGTGTGGGTGTAGTTTTTCTCTTCATCCGCACCCACACACCCACACCTACACCCACACCCCTCACCCACACCCACACCCACGCCCACACCCACATCCACACCCGCACCCACCACAAGAATTATAGCCACTTTCTTTATTTACCTGAATCTGACATGTATACAATTTGACTCGTCAATTGCAATGTGGAGTTGTCCAATGCGGATCTGAAAGTTCATAACGGATTATAATGTATGTATACGACCGCATTTGAATTTTTGTCGTTTCTTTACAAAGATCGATCCATATTGATTCTTCACATCATTAATGCTGTCACTCATGATTGAAGCAAGTAAAATGGATCAATAAACTCAACGACATGCGCAATTTTTTTTCTATACAAGAAAAGGAACAAAATGCATGTTGCTTTTTTGCCAAAGAAGTAATTATTTTCTGTCGTTCGCTTATTTATTCTCCTCTTTTGAAAAACATTTTTTTTCACAGTACGTTATATACGAAGAAATAGCTTCGAAGCACGCCAAAAACTACGTCACTTCTTTTCTCTCTTTGGAGGTATGTACACACATAAAAGAAACTGAAAGCAGTAAGAAGCATCGAATCAGATTGTGATTGTCAAGGATCCATACCAAGTCTTTTATCAAGCGTTCCAAAACTGATTTGACATTTTCGAGAATATGTTCAGCTGATAATTTTGATTTATATTCGCATAATTCAATCCTACTTGTAGATCCTATCCGAAAAGATCGGCTGCGGTATTGGATCATACCAGAAACTGTCAGGTTCCATCGAAAAACCTATTGATCCACCCTGGATTTCATCAGACTGTTTGCAATAAAATGCCGAACCAAATTGTACCGGAGGGTGGGTGTGGGTGTAGGGTGTGGGTGTGGGTGTGGGTGGGTGTGGGTGGGTGTGAGTGTGGGTGTGGGAGTGGGTGTGGGTGTGAGTGGGTGTGGGTGTGGGTGTGGGTGTGGGTGTGGGTGTGGGTGTGGGTGTGGGTGTGGGTGTGGGTGTGCGTGTGGGTGTGTGGGTGTGCGTTTAGGTGTCGACGTGTACAAAATGGAATAGATATTCCATATCCACACTCTCCCCCACACCCACCCACACCCACACCCATACCCATACCCACTCCAAACCGACACCCGCACCCACACCCCACACTCACACCCATCCACACCCCACACTCACACCCATCCACACCCACACCCTCTCCTTTTCAAAAAATGAAATACACGTTGTTTTTTCTGATACTCCTGTTATTCGCATGAAAGTATTTTTCGAAAATAGGTTCCTGTAGTTTTGAGAAATGTTGCTTATAATTGTGATGTAGAACCCTAATGAATGTTTTACTGTTATTCGATGAATAATGCGAAACGTGTCCGCGAAATTACACCGCGTATTCTAATCTTTCAAAAAATTAAAGCATATTTATATTGAATTTCATATATATGGAATCGATAAAGTCAATTGCAGAAAAGCAAGAGTTTAGACTAGCACATTGATTTGAGTTTTCTTTGGAAGCTAGATCGATTTGTTTTCATTTGATATGCAGATCCTCACTCCCATCCCTCACCCTCAAGATTACTTACTACAGAGCAAAGTTCATGGTTGTTAAAAATTAGTTTGACTTCAAGTTGATATCCGATGAAAAAAACACTAATGCATTTATTATCCTATGTAGGTGTTACCATCGACATCTTCGAGCGTACTTGTGATTGGTTGTCGACAAAGAAGACAAAGTGGTGGCTGTGCAATGGTAGCTCGTCGCTGAATTTCGGCGAGACATGTTTGGCATAAAGTCTTGTGTCGACAGGGCAGACACCGAGCGTATCTTGGTCGATCCAAACACATTAGACATGGTTTGGAGTTTGCAATCTGATCTGCAATGATCTCAAGCTCTCGGACCAGCTCCAGTGCTTTTGGACGTGATTCAGGTTCCTTTGATAGACACCGACGCATCAAATCGATGTAACTGTTCGGAATGTTAACGAGTGCATCTATTTGAGCGTGAGAAATGAGTTGAGTGATTGGATAGTAAATTGGTTTAGGTGCTATGACATACATCAGTACACCCAATGCATAAATATCCGCATCTGAGCCCTTGTACGTGAAATCATGGCTACTGTCCACAGTTATTTCTGGTGCAAGCGGACGTGATCCGATCACTGTCGAGTTTTCGACACCATGTTGACATGTTCCAAAGTCTGCCAGAAACACTTGAAGATTGTCGTCGAGCAAAATATTTTGAGCTTTGATATCACGATGGACGAGTTCGTAGGCATGCATATGTGCTACAACACGGGTAACATCAAGTACGATTTGAGTAGCTTTATCTATTGTTATATCACCCATATGATCACACAGGTAAGTATGTAGACTTGACGAGTATCGAGGAAGTAGAATAAACAGGTTTTTGTTATCCTCTTCGTAGAGATACCGAAGCGGTACTGAGTGTTCAATATTTAAATCAGCTACAGTGCGATGAAAGTGTGCTTCTAGATAAGCCACATCAGGATGTGCAATGGGATTAAGTATAACTTTGGCTACAAGAGATTGCTCTGAATCCCATGACGCAGGATGTACCGAGAAGAAGCCTCCTTTACTCAGTTCTTCCTGCAGATCGATCTTAGGTTTCACTCCATGATGTTTAGCCAAATCCAAGTTAGCCACTAATCGACACTCGATACGTGCAAATTGACCAGCAAATCTACGCGCTAGTGTGTAAGCTTCATTTCGATGATTTATTGTCTGCATGACAATCTTCGCATAATTTGCCACCCTTTTTTTGAATTGATCCTTATTGTCTGAAAGCCACTTTTGAATATTTTCTCTAATTTGCTCAGCACAAGAAGCTAACTTATGCTCAGCATCGATAAGCTCATGGTCTATTATGTTTAAAACTTGAAGTTCTTCCGATACCTGCATTAGTGGATTCCGTTTCGCAAGTCGTACTGCAACAAGCAAAGGTGAAACTAGAATTGAGTAAGGAATAACAAAAAAGAGCTGCGCCCACCACGCCATAATAGAAATTTCATTGATAAATCCTAAGTTTCTATTATCAATATTCCCAATAGCATTGAGAAATTCTCTGTAGGCCGCCATAATGAGCTCATTTTTCGAAGATTTTTTTGGTAAAGGTGCTTGTTGATTGGTGCCCGTTCTTACTTGACTACTCATATCTTTTACGATTTTATTGAGAGTTGGTACGAGTATTTCATTTTTAACAGTCGTATCAATAAAATAAGTGATGCGTTTCCTTCGGATCGAACGGATCCTTCCTGATCGGCGCGCCATAGAAAACTTATCGATTAGTGGATCAAGGAAGGATATTGGCATTTGCCATACTGGTTCATATTCCTTCGCTCGTTTAGCCAAATTATCGCGGTTTCTGCGAAATACTACAGGTAATTGTCGTTCAGCTTCTTTGATGATAGTGTCCAATTGTAAAGAGTAATCTTGAAAGTACTGATCAGTCCATAAAAGTGCTTCGCGTCGCAAACTTTCCCACTCTTCCTTCGACCGTCGATTGGTAACGAGTACAAAGTCAAAAAATGTAGTTATTACATGTATCATGATGTGACTGACTTGTTCGGCATTTCTTAAATCATGTCTTGCTGCAAAAGTGACAATACGATCGATGGCATTCCCCTTCATTGCTTGTTCCATCGGATGTTCGGGACGTTCGACACTAAATATGTCAAAACAATCACAATTATTCAATTGTTCAGGCAAACCGCTGTTCATCTCGTTCACATCACGTAACAGGTTGTATCGACGAGCTCGCTCCGCTTCGAGAACTTCACGTAATTCTGGTTCCTCAGATAATTCATCTATCTCGGCATCGCGTAGAATTGTGCTAACATCAGCTTTGGTATTGAGAAAGAAAATACCAACATCACCTATTTTTTCAAGAGATAACCTGAGTGCATCAAAACACTTACGCGAGTCTTCCGATACAGTAGCGTTGTCGTAGAGGAATAGTAGAGAAGGATGCCGAGCTCTGATTAAAGCGTTTAAATTCTCGACGAGTATGGGGGCATCCATAAGAAGAAACCCTGGTGTATCGTATACAATGACACCAAGTTTAAGAATAGGCGACGGAATCTGAATTTCAATTAGATGTGACGCCCATTCAGTGAACTCATTCGAGAGTACGCCAATTGCTTCAGGACGCGCCAAATGTTCTTTGATAACACTTTTAAGATTTTTCAAACGTTCTTGCTTTTCCTTGGATGTCATTGCATTCGTGGATAGGAAGTATTTTGAGAGATCAACTGGATCTTTGCTGGCAGGTGAGTCAATACCTCCATCATGAATTAATAGACATGCTTTTTCGGCTGGAGCGTACGAGAATTGTACGATGCGTGCAGTAACAGCGCCTGTTCCAGCCGGCAAGAAGGAACCATTTTCCAGAAAATGATGGAGAAACGATGTTTTCCCAGAGGAATTATATCCACAAATGGCCAAATGTACTTCGTCAAATGTTTTGAATTCATTAAGAATTTTCATTTTGCCTTCAGGTAAAAATATGTCGGCAACATCTTTGAGAGTATCCAAACGAGTATAAATTGATTCAATTTTATCTGAAAATTCCTTATGAAGAGTCAAAAATTGTGTCATTGTGGCCACCGTAGATTTCTTGATAATATTGTTAGACTTGATTATATTCGTGATAAGCTCTTTGTTAATCATCGTGGTGCTATTCAGCTGAAATCAAAATCGATTTTAAGTATTGGTTATGTGATGAATAAAAACAATTGGTAGAAAACATGAGCAGCGCAAGCTCAGTTTTTCAGGGGAAGCAATAAGTTTTCGAAGGAGTAGGGATGCAACAAACCCGAGTACTTGGGATTTGGTATTAGGGATTTGGATTCGAAATAAGATTTGGATTTGGATTTGATACCTGGTGTTTGGATTTGGTTTGGATTTGTTATCCAGTGCTTGGTTTTGGATTTGGATTTGATACTCAAGGTTTGGATTTGGCTTGGATTTGTTTTAGATATAGTGTTCAACGACCCAAACCATTTGGATTAGGCAATACTATACGGGTACCCTTGGGTCTTCAAGTCCTACTATTGGGGGTACCTTTAGGTCCTCCAGTCCTACTATTGGGGGTACCCTTAGGTCCTCAAGCTTTACTATTAGGGGGTACTCTTAGGTCCTTCAGTCCTACTATTGGGGGTACCCTTAGGTCCTCAAGCCCTACTATAGGGGGGTACACTTGGGTCTTCAAGTCCGACTATTAGGGGTACCCTTAGGTCCTCAAGCCCTACTATTAGGGGGTACCCTTGA